TCTCAACAGGGTCTCAGATTGAGAGACTGAACAAATGAGACAATTGTTGGCATACTGTAAGACCATAGAACTATATAATGAACGCACGTCCCAGATCATTTAGTCTTTGAAATTTTTGTGATCAATTAAAAGTCAAAGATCTCATTGCAAAGCCTTTATTTTTTATTTACGAATATTTCTCAACAAATCTAAAATATGTCTGTCTGTCTGTCTGTCTGCCTGTCTGCCTGCCCGTCTGTGTATCTGTCTATCCATCCATCCATCTATCTATGCATCCATCCATCCATCTAATGGTCTATCTGTCTGTCTGTCTATTTATCTCTCATCCACTTGTCCGTCCATCCATCCATCCGTCTGTCTGTCTGTCTTTCTATCTATCCATCTATCTGTCCATCTGTGTATCCATCCATCCATCCATCTAATGGTCCATCTGTCTGTCTATTTATCTAACATCCATCTGTCCAACCATCCATCCATCCATCTATCCGTGCATCCATCCATCCATGCATCCATCCGTCCATTCATCCTCCATCCATCCGTGCATCCATCCATCCATGCAATCCTTCCATCCATCCATCCATGCAATCCTTCCATCCATCCATCCATGCAATCCTTCCATCCATCTGTCCTCCATCCATGCAATCCTTCCATCCATCCGTCCTCCATCCATCCATCCGTCCTCCATCCATCCATCCATCCATCCATCCGTCTATCCGTGCATCCATCCGTCCATTCATCCTCCATCCATCCGTGCATCCATCCATCCATCTATCCGTGCATCCATCCATCCATGCAATCCTTCCATCCATCCATCCATCCATCCATCCATCCAATCCATCCATCCATCCATCCATGCAATCCTTCCATCCATATATCCATCCATCCGTGCATCCATCCATCCTTCCATTCATCCATCCATCCATCCATCCATCCGTGCATCCATCCGTCCGTCCATCCATCCATCCATCCATCCATCCATCCATCCATCCATCCATCCATGCATCCATCCATCCATCCATCCATCCATCCATCCATCCATCCATCCATCCATCCGTGCATCCATCCATTCGTCCGTCCATCCATCCGTCCATCCATGCATCCATCCGTCCATTCATCCTCCATCCATCCGTGCATCCATCAATCCATGCAATCCTTCCATCCATCTGTCCTCCATCCATCCATCCAATCCATCCATCCATGCAATCCTTCCATCCATACGTCCTCCATCCATCCATGCATCCACCCATCCATCCATCCATCCATCCGTGCATCCATCCGTCCGTCCATCCATCCATCCATCCATCCATCCATCCATCCGTGCATCCATTCATCCGTCTGCCCATCCATCCATCCATCCATCCGTGCATCCATTCATCCGTGCATCCATCCATCCGTGCATCCATCCATCCGTCCGTCCGTCCGTGCATCCATTCATCCGTCCGTCCATCCATCCATCCATCCGTGCATCCATTCATCCGTCTGCCCATCCATCCATCCGTGCATCCATCCATCCGTCCGTCCGTCCATCCATCCATCCATCCATCCATCCATCCGTGGGTCCGTCCATCCATCCATCGCACTTGGTTTAAATAGAGAACAAATTGAGGAGTCTCCTGTTTCCCATTAGCCAATATATCAAAATGTTCAATCAAAAGTCTGAGACCCTAATCGGAAGACTTTGGTATCTTGACAAATCTGAGCACATTTTCTATAGGAGGTGCATATGGATTTAGTGAGGTCTTTTTCTAAACAAACAAAAAAGCTTTAAAAAAAATACAGCTATTAGAGAAGCAAACAGGAGTTTATGCATCTAAGGGAGCGTTGCGGCGTGTAAATGAGATGCATTTGTCGTGGCTCATTTCAGTGGGGACCGACGCAGTCACATCAGACAGGTACACTAACTAATGCAGAGCTGTTAAAGCACGCCGCTAATTTTAGCTAGCTGTCAAGTAATAATTGGGGAGGAGGTGTTTATGTTAGTGTGCATATTCACACTTGCACAGCAACGTATTTGTGGAAATGATTTTTACAGTTGAGAGAAGAAATAACTGCCTACTTCCCACAGGAGGCGGTTTAATCGCTGATCCAGGTCTTCTGTGTTTATGTGACTGAGTGGATGCAAACGTAAAACGGTGGCAAAGTTCAAGTAAATGGTTTGCGTTATTCGCTGAGAATACATTTAACGAACAGTAATTAGAGGGCAAACAGGGACGCTCGTTATCTGGCAGTTTTACTGCGTTACTGCTTGTTGACTTGCATTGAATGCGCACTTCAGTGAATTATGTATGTCCCATTTTCTACCTTTCAGGTCGTAGTAAATGCGCTCTCTGTAAGAGAGGAAATCCATTTCATTTGTGCACCTTTATGACTGTTCAGTCTCTCAGAAACTCGCTTTCTCTCTCACCCAGGATACAAACTGAACACCTACTAAGTGCCAAATGGGAGTTAAAATAGCCTTTGGTGAGTAACTTTATTAGCAGCTGCAACATAATTTATGGCTTAAACTGAACGCTTATATACACACTAGGCTAGGGTGACCATATTTTGATTACCAAAAACCAGGACACTCGGCCCAGCAAACACAACTGATACTCGAAGTTTACTCAAAGATACCTTATTAATTTCAATACATTTAAAGTAGGTTATGCCTCCTCTGTATGGATAGAAAATTGTTATATTGTTATATGAAAACAGGACATGTCCTGGGAAAACAGGACAGTTGGTCACCCTACCATACAAAAGTTTGGGGTCAGTAAGATTTATTAATGTTTTTTTAAAAAGGTCTCTTCTGTTCACCAATGCTACATTTATTTGATCATAAATACAAAAATATTGTGAAATATTAATCAAATTTCAATAACCGTTTTCTATTTTAATTTATTCCTCTGATGCAAAGCTGCATTTTCAGCATCATTACTCCAATCTTCAGTGTCACATGATCCTTCATGAAACATTTCTTATTATTATCAATGTTAAAACAGTTGTGCTGCTTTATACTTTTGTGCAAACCATGATTTCACAATTATTTGATTAATAGAAAGTTCAAAAGCACAGCCTCTTATCTTTTGAAATATTTCAATGTCTTCACTGCAAATTTTTATCACTTTAATGCTAATTTTAAACATTAAAAATAATCACATTGACCCCAAACTTTTGACAGTATTTCTGTAATATAATATAATATTACAAATTTACAACTCATTTATGAAAATGTAAATGATAAAATAAAGTAGTCAAAACATGGTGTCTGGTCAACCAAAGTTAGATTGTGATCCAGATCAATAACCTGAAGTATTAAAGTCATACAATGTTTTTTCTACACTAATTCTGCCTCAAACTTGTGACTTGTTGAAAAGAGATGTGATTTTACTTTTCCAAGCAAACAAACTTATAATTTTGGCCTTGTGTATGTACGGTACGCTATCCTCATCACCCAATAGAGTTACTGAAGGAGGAACATGAGCCATAACAGACTAGAATATCACATATCCACAACACAACACACTACCATCACGGAGGAGACGTTTGCACAGGCAAGCACTAAAGATAGTATCATTTAAAAACATTATAACCCTTTTCATATTCTGCTGAAAGACTCTCCAGCTTTGATTTGAGGAGTTAAACACACGAGCTCATAACGGAGGGATTGTTCCAGTACATCAGTGGTGTTTTGGTAATTGTCGGCGCGTCACACTAAGGGACATCGCTCCACCATCAGACTCTGACAGAAACCCTCGCTAATTGTGACAGTTCAACGCTTAGATCACTTTGTGCGCCGTTAATTCAATACCCCATGCATCATTTTCTCCATTAGAATATGCAAATGAAGCCAACTTTGAACATCGCCTTCTTTTTTCTTCTCCAGCTCTCTCCTCTCCTCACACACACACACCTCTCTCTCTCTCTTTTATGGTACAGATGAGAGTTGTTGAATAATGTGTCAAATGGGACAGAGGAGTTGATATAAATGCACATGCATGATATATACACACACACGTAAATGCATACACACATACAAATATATATATATATATATATATATATATATGAAGAGTTCATATGCAAAAGCCTCTAAATGGCATTTAAAATTTTCTTCTTTAATGATGATTTTTATCAAACTTGTATATTTAAGCTCAGTAATTTCACTTAAAGAACAATTAATAGGTAATTATCATTGCCATTTAAGTGAAATCACTGAACTTAAATATACAGGCTTGATAAAAATGATCATTCTAGAAGAAAATTTCAAATGGCACTTAGAGGCTTTTGCATCTGAACTCTTCATATATATATATATATATATATATATATATATATATATATATACACGTCCTTTTCCTTTAAATATTTGTGGCCTATTTTTGAGTCATTCTGGCCCGATTTAACCTCTGCGTATAAAAAGTTGTTTCATAGGTGAAGCAAATTCTAACATTTTGATAAAAAATGACAAAGACCTTTGGAATTATTCATTTATCTGCACCAGCTGTTCACAATAAGACCAGTAATGTGAATTAGTAAGTAAATAAATAGGTCTTTTTTGATTTCATGCTGACTTTAAAGCTGCTGTGTTATTTTCTGTGCCACTGGTTCGAACACTGCTAACAGGACCGTATTTATAACATAACCTACTCATCATAAAATTATAAACAGCTACTGTAACAGTGATCATGCAAAAGAATGCAGGTTTACAGACATTAAAAACAACTAAATGAGCCAATCAGAAATAAAACTGGTTTGAGGAGCAAGTTCATAGTGGCATCTGCAAGAATAACCATTGATTTATAATGCATTTCAAACACTTTATCTGCCAATCTTCAAACAAAGAGGCACAGTATTCCCACCCAAAATCAAACCACTAGTTCAAGCCAAAGTTGACAAAAACAAAAAACAAAATTGAAAGCGGCATGTCAAAGTATAAATGATTTTCTCTTAAGATGCACTTCGCTGAAGTAAAAAATTAAAAACACACACATAATAATGAAGAAACTGAATTTTCTTACCCCATGTGAAGGATATGTGAGCCAGCCCCAGTCTCCAGATATTTTGGTTGTGTCCAGGAGATTCACTGTAAATTGAAAATAAAACACGTTACAAAGACATTCAAATTATACACGTATATATATATATATATATATATATATATAAATACACACACACACACACATTCTTTTAAGTGAATATTAATAAAAGTCAAATAAATTCAAGATTATCTGAAAACAAGAGTCATCAGATTTACAGATAATATAGTTTCTTACAAGTAAGTTTTACTTTAGAAACAAAATATTTGTATATTCCAATATTTCCAATATTAATGATTAATCACATCTAACATAACATTTTGCATAATTATACGGTCAAAACAAAATATATTCAGACAAATATATTCTTCAACGTCCAATGAAGACAAATGAAGAAAAATGTCAAAACAAGACAAAAGTACCGATTAAGACAATCATTTCTTGTCGTGTAGTTTATGCCGAGGCTCAAATGTAGCATGATGAAGCATGTAGAGCCGTAGCATTGACATGTGCAGCGGGCCGTCCCGAAGGCTTTATTGATGACCAGACACCTAGCCTGTTTTTGGTATGAATCAAGGTCACCATGGAACAAGCTATTTTCTCTCTCTGTGACTGTATCCGAGAGCCAAATCATGCTGGATTTCTTTCGCAGATAAACACGGTAAACTGTATCTTCCTGCTCCCATCCATCTGGGAAACACAAGAGGTGGTGCGCGTCTGGCCCTGAGCTGCCGGCGGGACACTTGACGTGGGAAGCCGTGACAGATGTGCACATCTGTGTGGAGAAGAGACGTGCACCTGACCCAGTTTTACCCCCCATAAGCCCAGAGACCCTGAATCCTGCTTTACATTCACTGCAGCCGACTAGTTGGAAATGGGTAAACAAGGAGTCACCTTCAATTTGAAAAAATGCCAGCTGCCACATGGACGTGTGTCGGGTCCCGCGCTAACAGACAACACAAACCGGCTTCAGCGTCCCATAGGTGCCACAAAACAACAAATTAAGCTTGCTGTTGCCTTTGCGTTTGACTTGTTACGTCTATACGCGGCTGCAATGGTGTTTTTAACAATGTTATGGAGGTCACATGTGGGCTTACTCTACAGGCTGTTTACACAACTAAAAACATTAAACTTTTTATGCGTTTTGGCAGCTTGTTTATACTACAACGGCGTTTTGGGGTGCGCAAACCGGGTTTTAAAGCATCAAACATCAAAAACGCAAATCTCTGAATTACTCTGTATTACGTGTTCATTCAGGCTATGTTTACACGGAAATGATTTTGAAGAGAAAACGCAAAAGTAGCGTTGCGTTTTCACTTTTTATTTTGTGTTTAGAAGAGCATTTTGGGCGGGAAATCTGCGTGCATATGGTGACGCAAAAGTGTATGAAATTCAGTGTAGTATGCACTCCAGGCAGCTAGGTGGCGATGTGGAGCACTGCCACACAACAACACCAAGTCCGCGTGTCTGCGTACAACCTTAACATGTCTTTAATTTAATTTTTCGAGGCCAGCAAGTTTCAATCCCTCAAGAAGCCTATGGACTAGTATGCAGGAGTGATCCAGCGCTCTGATTTCATCGAAAATATCTTAATTCACGTTCCAAAGATGAACGAAGGTCTTACGACGTTGGAACAACATGAGGGTGAGCAACATAGATATGTATATAAAGGCTAGACGTGTTACGGCGGAGTTTCCATCGTCATCACCGGCGGCCATCTTGTCACAGACAAGCTGATGTAAGATGAGTGGTCAGCACAAACACAAATACTCTCATCTCGTTGAAATCTTGACGGATTTACAAACGGTTTGGTTTCTTACAAACGTTATTAACGTGGCTATAATTATCTGGATGATTATTTATATATACATTTTTTATTCATAAGTATGCAGTGTCATAACTACATCTCTGACGTTTATAACAAAACAAACCGTTTGAAAATCGGTAGAAAATTGAGCAAGTTATGGTCATTTAAATAGTACATGTACCATTAACACAATGTTACGAGTGAGCGAGCTGCCTGTGACAAGATGGCCGCCAGGTGCAGACGTCGACCTCCATTGGCCAGCAGCCTGGACGACATATCTAGCCTTTATATAGATATCTATGGTGAGTAATTACTGACAGAATTTTCATTTTTGGGTGAACTATCCCTTTAAGAGAGACCCTGTTATGTGGATTTCACCTTTTATGTAGTATGTAATGAACCTGTTGGTGAACGTCAAACGTCAGCAAAGTTTCAGAGATCAAAGTGCTGATAAATACAGTTATTGTCTCACATACAGCAGGCCTGAGGTAGAACAGCACTACTGCCATCAAATCTATCCAGACAACTGTCAAGAGACATTTACACAGACCAGTGGTTTGTTTGACTACTCCAGTGTCTGTCATTATATGTGTATCTTGCCATCTGAAACGCACATAACAGATTGATCTTTATTTGAGTGAAAAAGTTAACACAGAACACAATTGAAAGCACAAAGACTTTAGATGTTGAAAATGTGAGTCCTCTCGTTCAGTATAAATCGGTTTTACAAATTACTTGACCACTGGAGTCGCCAAAGAGTGACCAAATAATAAATATATATATATATATATATATATATATGTTGTTGTAATTCTCAAATGCTGGCTAGTTGGGTAATAAAACCTAATAAAACTACTCTCAGATAAAAAAAAAAAATCTTTATACTATCAATCTATTCCCAAAACTGCATTATTTGGTAAACACAGTATTTCAAAGAAAAAGAAAAAGTGTCAAATAGAATTTGTCTACTGCAAAATTGGTATCGTTGTCCTCGGCATGACACAAGGAATCAACTAAGACCAGTTTTATTACAATAGCCAACATGCAACAAAAGCTTTTAACATTTTTTAAACTTCATCATAACTTTTAACCCCAAGGTGACAACGTTCAGTACCTTCAGGCCATGGTACCAAAGAAACATACCATAATATTGTTTCTAGCCCTTACAGTTCAAAAGTTATGAGCATAAAAGTGACTGCAAATTTGGACAGTTGGTGGCGCTAGATTGACCGAGAGACTCCAAAATTGCTGTGGTTAAAGATCACACTGTCCTCTATCAATGTGCCAAATTTCATAACTTTCCCACAAGCGGTTCTAATAGGTATAATAGGCCCCTAATATAAAATATATTTAAATGCCAACTTTAACAAATGAAACCTTATTATAAAGTGTAACCAGAAATATAGAATCTGTTTGAAGAACGATTGCTTCTATATTGCTGGGATATGGGTGCTGGGTGGTGGTGGCGCATTGGATAAGACACATGCCTTTGGTGTGAGAGACCCGGATTTGAATCCACTGTGAGACACCATGAGCAAGACACTTAACCCCTAATTGCTCCAGAGGTGTGCGACCTCTGACATATATAGCAATTGTAAGTCGCTTTGGATAAAAGCGTTAGCTAAATTAATAAATGTAAATACAGTACATTTATGCTACTAAACTTAATCACAGGCCTTTTATTTAGTTTTCTGTCCTTAAAAAGGAATGAAATGCATTAACATGAATTGACCGCTCTAACTAAAGACCCCTGTACATCAGATGAGCTCTTCTTCTTGTATTTTAAATGTAAAAGCATACAGTACTCCAGGGAACCTCTCTCATTCTGTTCATTACCAGGTTGTCTGTGCAATTTTTTTGCCTTTCTTTTAAATGTCATCACTTTGGTTAATTTTCTACTTAGAGAACTTTCTCAGCTCTCTCTGATCTGTCTCTCTCCATCCCTCGCTCGCAGGGAGCACGTGTTGTAATCAGCAGTATTAGTGCACTCAGTGATTGGACTTCTAATTTAGAAAGGCTGTTCCTGATGAGAGCACTGGGTCAGAAAGTAGGAACAGATGGCCTCTATCTCTCTCCCTCCCTCTCGCTCTTTGGCTCCTTCCTACAAACCGGTGTTGAGGAGTAAGTAACTAAAAGAAGAGGCAGCGCTGCTACTAACTTAACATTTATCTGTGGTAGTGTGACAGTGGAACAGCTGCTTTCAAAACAGAGATGCCAAGAACACACTACAGGACAGAAGCGCTAGCATCTGTGCGTCCGTCAACATGTTTCATACACTAGTAGAGCACTGGCAGTGACACTGTGTAGGTTAAATGCATTCAGGGGCTATTTTCACAGACTTAAAACTAAGAGTGCCAAGCTTCAGTGTGTGTGTGTGTACAATCCATTATAACAAAAGATTCTCACCTCCACACGAACAGCGCACTACATTGGAAACTGCCATAAATCACTTTCCAAATACACTTTACAGATACATCTGGGCCATATTTTGCACCCGGTGCAAATGACTTGTACACTGACGCATGTCTAATTCCTATTTTGCACCGTGTGTACCATCGGTAAACTAGGAAATGAACTTGCGCTCCCTGGGCGGGTCAGCGCGAAAAGGAGACGTGATTCGGCGTAAACAATCCCTAGTGCTATTTTACACTTCCAGAAAACAATTCCACCACTGACCAGAAAAATAAACTGGTCTAAAGTCAGTGGCACGTTGTTCATAATGCTATTTTAAGTGCGCATGCTTGGCCATAATGTAGCGGGTGCTCAACGCGAGCAAGGAAGGTGTCCATGAAGATGTAAAAAAATTCAGTTTTTTTCCTCCACGCCTGTTTAACCGAAGCTGATTTGGGTGGTTTCTCCAATCCCCATACAATGTCACTTCTGTCTTTCCCTGCCCTGACAAGAACATCAGTCTCCTCGGCTGTGAACGCTCCTGGTGCGCATCTGTTAAATTCGCCATAATAATAACAATCCACCATGCAACATGCGCACCTTGCCATTTGAGCTTATAAAACTTAAACTTTGTTTTTTTTTTTAAATACCATACCATACATAATGAGTGATCATTTCGCTAAATAAGACCCTTATTCATCGTCTGAAATCATATAAAGTCCTGAACAGTTTGCACTGAAACTGTCTTTTGGACCTTGAACCGTTTGGTTCCCATTGAAGTCCATTATATGGAGAAAAATCCTGGAATGTTGTCATCAAAAACCTTAATTTCTTTTCGACTGAAGAAAG